AAATCATCATGTGCCAACATTAGTGACCCAGCGCATGCATAACAGACTAGTTGGCCAAAGTCCTTCGTCCTTTCATCGCCCATAATTATGCTGTAGCAGCTTGCTGGTTGCTGGTTACTGGTTACTGCTTGCTGCTTGCCAGGGTCCGGGCACAAGGCTCAAATGCAAATGCAAATCAAGCAACTGCCTCGGCAACAAAAGCCGTGAGAGCTCAAACAAAAAAGGGTATTATAAAATGGACAGCCCTCGCCTGCAAGCGGAAGTGACTGGCCCATCTGTCTGTCTTCCTGTCCAGCTCTCTGACTGTCGCCCCTGTCAGATACAGTGTGTGTATGTGTGTGAAAGCGCGTATATGTGTGTGCTTAAGTGTGTGTATATGTATGTCGCTTGGAGCGTCGTGCTGTGTGCGAGCATTGTTATACCCGCTCCAGTCGCAGGCAATCGGTCATACCTTGCTTATACTTGGTATCCAGCTTAAGTCAGATATTTATTAATGAAAATTGAAGAAATATATAGACACAAAGTTTAAAAATAGGCGTTAGATCATTCCATATACTAAAAATGTTTTAAGCACATTCTGAGATATTTAAATATATTTTAAATTTTTTTTTCATTTATGTATTTTTATTATAATGTATTATATTACAGATGTTTCGTAACTGTCACCCAAAGTGAAAATTGTCTCTCCTCCAGGCTCGATTCGTCTGCCAGTTTTTTTTTTTTTCTTTCAAGAACATTTTTATAAAGAAATTTTCTTCAAATCACTTTCAATCTACTCGAACAGAAGTTTGATATTGATTCTATAGGTAAATTAAGAACACAAGTATGGAGTTCCTTTTTGGGCATAATTTTTTATAATTACCTGTTAATAAAAGATTAAAGGCACTTTAAATATTATTACCGATATTAACAACTAATTTGTTTCGGTTCAAGCCTTGGTTGCGGCTCACAAATTAATTAAAACCTTAATACTATACTAACTAAATTTATTAATCACATAGATAAAAGTAGTAAATTTTACCTAAAAATGATTTACACAATTAATTACTTTAGCTCTTAGCGGTTGCGGCCGAAAGAAAACTACTATCCGAGATTCGAGTTACGTTTAAGCCAAGTGCGGGTATCTTATAGTGCCTTACTCACGGCACAGTTCATTTCTGTCACATATTCTTATGCAAAAAAAAAAAAAAAAAAAAAAAAAAATGGGAAAAAAATTGCCATCAACATTGCAACGTTGTAATTGCCAACAGGCAATGAAGAGCCAGCGAACACTGGCGTAAAAGTAAAGAGAGAGTTGAAGTTACAAACTGTTGGCTGCCACATGTCCTGCAGCTCGCTTGAAATCCCTCAGCGAGGACTCAATGCATGCATGCATGTGTGTGTGTGTATGTCACGCTGCGTGAGCTGTGCAACATTTTGAGCACACGGCTAATGTATTTTGGCCGCCGCTGCTCAGACAACCGCAATGCTGCTAGGCAACCAACGGGTAGAAAGCGTTTAGGACCCCAAGTCCGTTACCCCCCCTCCCCCTCCCTACCACCCGCTATGACCCGACCCCTTCGGTCTGATGAGCTGCCTTTTTTTTTTGGTGATTGGCCCGACTGTTCGCATTCATTACAATCAGGCCTGATTATGTCTGGCAAAAGTTAAACAGGCGCCAGCGACAAAAACTCAATTCAAGAGTGAATTTATTCGAATGCTCTCGCATGCCCCAACAAAAGCAGTCAAAACGTTGCATATACAAAAAAGAAGAAGACAAAAAAGAATATAAAATAAAAAGTCATAAAAATAAACCGTTAATCCAAGTAGTTGAAGCAATGGACTCGAAGCCCTTTTGCCCAACCAGATGAAGCGTTTGCCCTTTTTTGGAGCTGCAGCCCCCCCTACGGCCCCGGGCCGGTGGCTGCTGCTGCCAAGCGTTGACGATGACAAGGGTGCTTTGCCGCCTCACTGACTAAATAAAATTGGAATTTATTATCATGATTTGTAGCAAGAAGAAGCAGCAGCATCAGCAGCAGCAGTAGCAGCAAAAAATAAAATAAAAGAGATAGAAGCAGTCAAAATGGCAGCATCCCTCTGCCTGCGACTCTTTTGGCCTCTTTTCCAACACTGACTCATTGGCCGTCTCCAGACCAGGCCAAAAGCCAGGCGACGCCGATAAGTAGGAGCATTTTTAGATTTATACACGACGCCACTGATTTAAATGCCCGACAAAGTTTAAGTCACGCCTACAGCCTTGACGTGCTGCTGGGCGTGTCCGTGCACCATGGTAGCCAGCCAAAAGGCTTAACTATGCATTTCAGCTAGTTTATTAGGGCTTAAAGCCCACCAACACCAACACCAGCAGCCGCCCAGCAGCAGCCCAACAGCAGTAGCAGCAGCAGTTAAGGCGATTTACTACGCCCCAACTGTATGCCACGCGGCGTATGCGTAATTTTAGCTGTGGCGTTCACAAAATCTTAAATAGATAGCGATTACTGAACTGCTGAGTGGCAACTTTTATGATTGGGTGGCACGATAAGACCACAGCTGCAGCCCAGCGGCAGACTGTAGACAGCAACTTAATAATTCAAAAGAAAATGCACAAACCAAAATGGGAAATTGCATGCGCCAAAAATGGACTTAAAATATGCAACTAGCTAACAGAAAAAAAACACGAATTGACTTGGATTCGGTGGCGCACAAGCAACAAAAATTTTTAGCCTTGATAAGAGGAAAATCTTTTTAAATAAATCAACATTATTTTCGATTCTTATTTAAAAACATATTTGAGATTTTTTGAGGCAAACGATATAAGTTTCTTATATTTTATTGGAATTTCTTTAGAGTTAATCCCTAAGGTATAAAATTAAAACCCGGCCTTGCCCGTGGAAAGTTCTGTGCTACAAATTTTAGATATCACCTTTTCAACCAGTTTCCGCTCGTGAATGATAGAATTTTGCTCGTACTATTTTGAACTCCAGATCAATTTGAAAATATATTTAATTCTTTGTGGTGAGAATCTAGAAGCCGAAAAATAAACTTTCCTTCAATAAACATTCCTTAAACCGCATTTTCCATCCAAGTGCGCGGTATACCGCGAAAGCATCTCAAGTAAAATTTAACAAAGATCTCTGAAAATAACTTTGATGCCAATCGGACTTAAAACTGCACCCAAAAAGTCTCAAATCTCACGCCTCGAATGAATTTTCGTACAGATTCTTAGAAAATAGCTTTAACCCGAAACATCACCTACCAAATCATTGACCCCGATTTCCACCAGCTCATTGAAAGACTTTCCAAAATGGTTGAGACACGCCTCAAATGAATTTGAACATAGAGTATGAGGCCAATCGGATGGCAAACAAAAAGATAAGCACAAACGTTTTTTTCGGCTGGGTTTCCTTACGGTTTGGGCTATGTGTTGATCACCAATCAGCCAGTCAGTCAGTCAGTCAATCAATCAGTCAATCTGTCAACCAGTTAGTCAGCACAAGCCATTTTATGTATAGAGATAATAGCCAAAAGACTGTTATCAGAGCCAAAATTTGTGTGTACAATTTTATTTATAGCCTTTTAAAATCTTTTTTATTGACGTTCAATATTACGGTTTAAGCCTGGCACAAAAATTAATGCATTTTCGTTATTACCGAAAACCTTTTCTCTTTATTTTAAAGTATTTTATAGCTAGACAAAATTAAATATAATTATATAGCATTATTTTGCATGTAAAAGTGAAACGCAAATAAATTAAAAAAATACCAAAAAGTAAACCGCAAAACCGTTTGAAGTTATTTTCAACAAGGATCTTCAAAATACTCTTAAATTATTGTTCTGGCAGCAATTTCGCAGTAAGTCAAGACTGAATGAAAATTGAATCGTTTTGCCCAGCCGCACATAATTCATCATCACATGAGAAGTCTGTGGCTTAGTCGGGTGGGGCGTGAAAACATTTCTCTGACCAACGAGGCTTGTTGCAAGTACTTTTCCATCAGTGCTCGAGCTGCTTTGCACCCAAAGGGATTACTGGGGAGACCTGGCCCCAACTGGCCACCCAAAAAAAAAAAAGGAGCAAAACAACAAACACTTTTCACTAACACCTGCACTTGCAGTTAAAAGGACACAACACACACACACTCACATGCAAAATCCACTCTTTCAGCTGAGTTTGGTGCAAAGTGCGGGCGCTGTTAAGCTACCACTCCCATGCCACGCCCATTTATGTATGTTGCGCAAAATTTTTTGGCAATTTGTGTACAAAAAAAGTTCAGTTAGATGGCAAAACTAAAAACTTGTAGCTGTCAATGCTGTGGAATTTTTCTCATTTTCATGCCGTTTGCATTTCAAATGAATGTTGTGCTTGAGTAGGGAGTGTGCGTGTGTGAGTGTGACTGTGTTTGTGTGCACACAATTTCATTTCACCTGTCGGCTCAATCTGCCATGGTAGCTGTTGTTGTACTTAGACAATGTACGAAGGATATACATAAATAAAGCATGCCACTTTTCTTCCACTTTTTTTTTTTTTGAGGGGGAGGCGCCTTTGGCTAAGCTGTCGGGCTTGTCGTGAGGCGCCGCCTGCGCTCGGCTGCTGTGACAAATTGCGTTAAGGCCATGTTAAGCTGCAGGCAAAAGGACGTTCGCAAGGACTCAGCTGCCTGCAGCTGGGTAGCTCCAGCTCCTACTGCTGCTGTCGCTGGCTTAATGCAGTTAATTATTGCAGCATCTATTTAGCATTTGGCCAGACCGCATGCCAAAATTGTTACCGACTGGCGCTGCAGAGTATGCTATACTCTTTTTTGCAGCCCTGCTGTGTGGCATAGACAACAATTTGATGGGGCGCACAGCTGCCGCTTGATTAGCTCTCTGCTTGTATGCGTACGTATATGTGTGTGTGTGTGTGTGTGCAATTTCGATGGCACATGTGCTGTCAACAACATTTTTGGCTCCGGCTGAGATTTTTGCCTGGCACCGGATTTTGATGCCAAACAAGATTTGTCTGAACCCAGCCAGCTGTGCTCTGCTCTCATTTTGTCATGCCAAAAAAAAAATAAAGAAACTAAAAGAAAAATAAAAAATTAAAAAGAGATTTGTGCCAAAATTAAAAGCAATTTCCTTTGCAGTTTCAAAAAGCAAGAAAATCTGCTCAATTTCCCAGCACATCAATTTAATTCAATTTATTTAATGTCCATGTGTGTGCCAGTGTGCGTGCCCGTGCTCGTGTGTATGTATGTGTGTGTTTCTGTGCGCCGAGCTAATTCAATGAACTAGACAACAAAATAACTTAAATTTTATGTGGCAGATAAAGCCCTGTGTATCATAAAACTGCCTGCCTTTAAAATATCTTGATACAATCCAGCGGAACTCCCGCAAGGCCACATTGCCAAACGGGAACGGCGGTCCTTGCAAATTTGACGGCTTGACAGAAGGCAGCCGGAGTCAGTCGACCCGCATACAAGTACACACACACACACACTCGCGCACACACACACAGGCACGCCAGCAACTCGTGATATTTGATGGATGGTATCGCAGATATGTTAACGTGCTGGCAGCCAACGGATTCGCGGAATGGCGACGTTATTCACCGACTTGGCAGCGTGCCTTTGATATGGGAGACACAATGGGCCAGAGCTGAACAGAATTGAAAATCAGTCTGGGACAATGCAGCGTATAGGCCTACGCTCTCAGGGGGCTGCTTTAATACTTAACATACAATGCATGAAAAAAAGAATATCAACAGAAGCGAGTAAATGGAACCCATACGTGCTTGTGAAGCCCATTCAAATAAGTATGCTAATAAAAAAAATTTAAGAATATATTTAAAAATTCTGATTGGTATTTTTAAATTTAAATTAAATCAAAAGCTCGGGGACAAATTCTGTAAATAAAAAATTACAGATAATAAGCATATTGCATACATTTTTAAAAGCTTTACAGAACTATTTATATACGTTTTTTTTGTTGTTAACTGAACTCTTAAAATGTAATTTTTAATTTGAAATATATATTAAAAAATCTTATTTGGTACGTTTTACTCAAATAAAAATGTGTAAGTTCTGTAATTAATTATTTTTTATTAATTGCATAATATATTCAAAAGTATTAACAAATATTTCTATTTTATAGTTATTTAAGCTGAGAACTCTTAAAGTTAAAATTAAATGAAAACAAATTAAGTTGTTCTTGGTAATCTGGAAGTGTAATATGCCTCTTATATTATATTTTAACAAATCTCTAACTAGCTGATCCTTTATGTAGAGGGTATTATAATTTTGTCATGATATGTTTTATGCATAGAGGTATACATCTCCGATCCCATAAAGTCCATATATTCAAGATCAGGATCAACAACCGAGTTGATATAGCCATATCCGTCTGTCTATTTCTCAAGACCTTATTAATTGGGCACACTGTGTACTCTATTTTATTTATAGACGGGATTTGCAAACACAAAGAAAAACCACCTGACTTTACCATATTTCGCTGCCTTATGCTAAAATAATAGAAAATTCAATTAAATTGTCATTGTCAGTCGCCAGTTGCCGCAGTTTCCCCAGCTTCCACAGTGCTGGGTTATATTAAACAATCTGCTGCTGCTTTAAAGCATCCTCAAATAAAATGATTTTATGTTAGGCACTGTTGGCAATGAAATACGAGTGCGAGAGACCAGCAAGTGGGGAACGGGGTTGCAGAGGCGGCTTTTATGTGGCGCCATATAAATTCGGGGAGCCCGTACTTCAGGCGCCGCATTACGTTTATGGCTGGCTAAATTAAACACAAGAAGGCAGCGCCGCCAAAGTGGCAAGGCAGCCAGTTGAAAGGAAGTGTGTGTGTGTGTGTGTGTGTGTGTGCGGGGGAAGGGGGAATCGCAGGGGCATGGGCACGGTCGCTGACTGAAGGGAAATTGCTACAAGTTGCTTTATTTTATGCGCATATTTGCGCATATTACTCATACGCCCGGCTGGCATACATCTTCATTTAAGCAAACGTCTTCGACTTTGCCCCACCCCCAGCCCCCCTCTCTTTGCGTGTGTTCGCGCTTGGTTTGCTGTGGCGCAAGAAGTCGTATATTTTTATTTTATTAAATTTTCATTTCATTTGGGCTGCTTAACATGTTGCATGCAGCTCCAGAGCAGCCATATTCGCCGCTTTAAATGAAAAACGGAGGAGCAGGCGCTTGGAGCTGCCTGTCATTACCAATAATTGAAACAAGGAGCATTGGAAAATTATTCCCGCTGATTCGTTGATTGGTTGCGAACATTTTTGAGCAGACGCTTTGGCATTTCATTCCGCGCCTGATTTACGCGAGCTGTTTGAATTCCCAGCACTATTAAAGTATGAATACGCTTTGAATAAATGTGAATACGCGCAGGCCGGAGATGGCTTTCCTTTTTGGAAGCCTTATTCGCAGTCGTTTGCGTTCAGCGAACATTCGAGCAGCGCATTTGCTAAGCTTACCCAACTTCAGCCGGTTAGCGGGTAAGGGGCTGCTCCCAGCGGAGGTCAGGCCTGCCCTGCCCTGCCCTGCGTGCCCTGACCTGTGCTCAGCCTTTTCATGGGCCTAGCGTATCGGCAAATGGGTTATTGATGAGCTATTTTGCAATACGCTGGGGGAACTTGGCATTGACTTGGCATAAGTTACAAAGCGCGCGAGCGCCAACTTTTAAGCTGCTGCTGGGCAGGGGGTGTAGGGGCGCATTTAGTCTCTGGTTGAATGTGTGAATCGAAGCGTGACTGGGACTTTGCAGAGAATACAAAACACAGCAACAACTTGTGGCTGCCTAATGAGAATTTCAACTTTGAATCGCACAAAAGCAGACTTAAGGCCCAGTGCTTCAACTCTAACCTCACGTTCAAGGCCCTCAACATAAATATGCTTAATGGGAATAGTAATAAAAATTTAAATCATTTTGAAGCAGCCTTAAATTTAGTAAACCTAACCTGATAGTTTTTCTCTCTGCTACCACACCTCAGGCCTGATTACGGCTTTTACTGTTTTCTAGAGTAATTTGTGTTGGAATTTCAACTTTGAATCGCTTTTAGATAGACTCAAATCTCATTTAAACCCCAAGCTTAAGCTTAAGGTCGTCAACTCTAGCCTCACTTGTGCCATACACTCACACTTTGCTTAGAGCTAGATAAAATATATGTAATATCTTGTGAAAGGAAAATTAAATGGGAATAGTAATAAGTCATTTAAGTGCTAAACTTTGTAAAGACAACCTTTACTTACAGTTTTTCCGCCTAAAATTCACCTTTTTTATGTTCCATAGAATTTCATTCCAAACTTAAAAGCTCTTTTTTTATGTCGAGAACCAAACAAGAAGTTGGCTTGTATACCTTTAAGAACTAATTAATCTTTATACAATTATAAGCCAATCTAATAGCTCATTTCACCAACTCTAACCTAATTCTGCAATTTTAGCTCAGCTCAAGCTTGATTAACTCCTAATTGAGGAGGGGTACAAAATGTTGCCTTTTATACTGAACTTTTTACGGTTTATGTCTTACTTCGTACGATTTGAACTAGTACTGCTTACAAAAACTATAACTCTCAACTTGTCTAAACAGCTATCTGCTGAGCCAGGGATCTGCTTTATAAAGTTTAGTTGCTCCTGGCTTATCCTGTCAGCCGCTTTAGTGCCGCTCTAATGCCAACAGCGTAGAGCGTGCTCCTTAGACGCTGTTCATCCTCATGCTCGTTCGCATAACTTTTGACTGCTTCGTCTAACCCCTGTACATATACACACATATTTTTATATACGTATATGTAGTGTATATTGCATATGTATGCAACTCTGTTGCCTGCAGCTCAAATTTCATTAACGCTACTTTAAAATTGTGGCACATGCGTGGCGCAGCGTCTACGCCCGCGACTTCAGCTCTGTGACATAAATGTGCTTAATCTTTTACACGGCAACCCACCGAGGACGATACATGTTCAAGTACATACAAATAACTATACACACATACATATGTGTGTATGTGAGTGTGCACTAGACCACAGTGGATAAGCGCTGTGTGAAATACGATATGATATAACAGTGTGATATGTGTTCATCTTAGATAAGCGATTGAATCAATTTTGCACTTGGGATAAAAGCAAAAGATTGCCTGTGTCAGAGATTATCTATCTATACCCAGTCAACAGGGTCACTCAGCGAGGTCGTCAAGGGTTCAAATCCCTAGAGAAAGATTGAATAGTACGATGCTTGGGCGAAAATCAGAGTAGCCTGTGTTATGCAAAACTTTAGTTTATCCTATATGCCCTAATGATAATATATATACAATTTTAATCGCAATCAGTACATATTTAGAAAATTGTTAGATTTTTACCCGTTTTAAAGAAAATATAATGCAAATAGATATAAGCAGCGTGGTCGAAAATCAAAAGTGACAAGTTATTATAAATTTTTAAATAGCCCGAATGTCTACTACAACTGCAAGCATTTTTTACATTGCATTTTCTGCATTTTTTAAACTTCTTTACAAAAAATACATGAAATTATTTATTTATAAATTTCATTTTGATTCGAATAACTTATTTTTATTTTACACTTTTGTTTTTTTTGATATTTATTATGTTTATTTTGATATTTTTTTGAATTTATTAAATCTGTTATGCTGACTTTATATTTATTTTCTTATAACCTATTTTTATATACTTAACGAATAATCAAAAAAGAATAATACGTCAATTATACGATAAAAACAAAATGTTAATTGTCATTCAAAAAATATGTATTGATTTAAATTATTAACTATCATCCAAAATATCGAAACTTTAAATTTTGCTACCTCACATATCTCACACATATATTGCCCACTGTGCAGCCGTTTTCGCCGCATCACTTGTCTAACATATCAAATTTGTAGCTACGCATATCCGGCGCCTCAGCATGTCAACTGCGAGTAGTACAAAAACTTTTGGCGGCGCTTGTACTTTGGCAAAGAACTTTAATTTCTGCATTACTAGCGACGCCGCAGCGGGATCGGGGCTCGGGGCAAGGGGAGCTGCATCCGAGACACATGAAAAGTTTGCCATATAAAGTTACGCTCAACAACACGCCCCAAATTGCTTGGGCTTCTGCTTTGTGAGGGGTTGGTTTGGGTGGGGGGGAGGTCATGGTGTATGTGTGGGGAAATAGTTACGCCGCTTAAAGTTTGCCCGTAATACAACTCATTAAATTTAGAAAATACTCGCGGCAAACTTTGAGGCCGTGGCATCTTTTGCCGGGCGTTTGCCTAACATCCGTTGACATCTACATTTACAGCACGCCGTTAACTTGGCCTGCTCCGCCTGCCGGAATGCGGCCCAGCTGGTCTGGGCTGAAAGGATGCGTTGAGGTCTTGGGCTTGGGGCGTATATCCTGCACTCTCTAAGACATGAAATTTAAGTTGCGTCAAGTTTAATTGCAACGGATGTTGGGCGTGTAAATTATTTTGTTTTGGCTGCCTCATTTTCTCTGCTAATGAGCAACTTATTAAAACTTTTGGCCCCGCCAGCTCTGCAGGCCAATTTGAATGCCGGACCCGTGGCAAGCGCCACGAATTCCGGGAGGGCGTGGAGCAGCGCGTGAGGCGCATAAATAAATACGAATAGCAATGCCAATTGAAAACAAAGCCAAAGATAAGTTTACAGCCAGCCGAAACTCATTTACAGTTTCTGAGCTAGCACCAAAAAAAAAAAAAAAAAAAAAATAAATTGGAAAATGGGAACGAGCTAGAGAAAGAAAACTTCAATTTCTTCCGCACTTCAAGGCAAAGCACTCGAAACACGTAAGAAAGGGGCAAAAACTGAAAGTCAAGTTACTAAAGGCTCCAATGAAATACAAAAAAATCCGCAACAAAGGACTGCAAAAAGGCGACGACAGTGCTCGACATGCAGTTACCCTGTACTGAATTAAAAAAAAGAGCAAATAAAAAAGCTAAGATTTAATTCATTTCTTGTATATAATATATAATATTCCCCGAAAGGAAATTGATAGCTTTTGTCATTAGTAAGCTATACCGGAAAGTTACTGGGTATGCTAAGCCTGAAATGATTTGTAGCGGGAAAGAGGAAGTGGCTGGCGGGCTCTTGGTGCTGCGGATGCGGGATGTCTGTTGGCAAGTGTTTTTGTATGCGACAGCCTGTGCCTCAAGTGCTTAGACAATCGTGTTGAAGCTTTGATTTTCGAGCTTACTCCGGATTTGGCTGTGCACTGTAGCATACTTATGAGGGCGGGTAATTAACTTCGAGTGCCCAAAACACCCACACACACACACACAGACATATAGTGGGGAAATTTTGGACTAAGTAATAGTCGATCTGACAAACTGAGTGACTGTTAAAGTGTTGAAATGTCTGCGGCAGCCGTTAATTAATTAATGTCAGCGACCGTCGAACGAAATGAGAAAAGTTTTCCACTGCTGCAAAACTTGGCAGTTACTTAAGTATTTGTTAAGTCAGAGCCAAGGCGTTCAATATTTGTCAATGAACTCATTAAGCAAATTAATAGACAAAGTTGCCAGCTGAGCACTGGCATTGCAAGTGCTGGTGCCTTAGGGTGTGCGGCGCGGGCGGAGGGCATGGCAATTTATTTACTCGCTGCTGTGTGGCAATAAAATGGCACGCAATAAAAACCAAAGTCAACAAACAATTGCGCGCCACGCAGAAATCGATTATGGACGCCTCAAGGCAGCAGCTACGCTCGGTGTGCAACCACAGGCAGCAGCACCACCCAATGCCACAATCACAACCGCAAGCCACGTTTTCGATTTTGCCATTGCCAGGCGACTTGGCCACCTGATGCCCCGGCACTGAAATTGCCAACGCTGCAGTTTGGAAACCCAAAGCGGAAGTGATTTTCCTCCGGCATGCACGTGTCTGTGTAAATTTAGCACACAGCATGTGTGTGTGTATGTGTGTGTGGGTGTGAGGATTTTATGACCCTTGATAGTGGCAAGCGATTTGTTGCGTTGCATTTTCAATTTCGCAGCATGCACTTTGGCAACTTTGAATAATGCAATGGCAGGGCACCAACTGCAACGCGTACATGACCCGAACTCCAACCCCGCACGCAACCTTCCCGACAAAACCCCCCTTCCCCTCCTCCTCCTCGCCATGCATCCTTAACCAGCTTTGACTGCGCATTTTGGCAGCTTATTAAGGCGCTGCCCTGCTGCTGCCACCTACTTTTATTTATTTTTTTCCTCTTTTTGATAATTTTCAAACACGAGCGCACAATTCGAGCGCAGCAGCATTTGGCATGTGGGGCAAGTTGACATATATGCAGCACGTGCGCGGCTATATTCTACCCACTGTGTGTGTGTGTGTCTTTGTGTGAGTGCCCAATCTGTGGCTCACGATTGATGTCCGAGACAAACACACACATACATACATACAACTGCAATCACATGCAGCTCGTTATTGGCCTGCGACTGCGGTTATGCTTTGCACTTTAATACAACATGCGAACAATAATGCACCTGATTTGACCTGATCACCAACATATTGTGGTCACTAATTAATTGGCAGCTAATTACCCCACCTTTAGCAACGGTTTATAATCTAACCAACTCTGTTAATGCAGGAAGTGAGCTGTATTGCAGAAATTTTTAGCACAAAATAATTTAAAAAGTTTAAATTTCCGTAAGTTAACTTTTATTTACAATACTATATATTATTTTAAAATTTACGAATCAATTGAATATATCTAGTATTTCTTTTTAGCGTAGTATGAAGCTTTTTGAAGAATTTAACTTGTTTTATTAAGCGCTGGAATCAATCCATATTTTCTGACCTCTACCAAGCGAAAGACTGTAATATAATGTTTGTTAGCTCAAATGGTATTTACACTGAGGGGTATTTAATATTGTGGGATACTTTCAATGAAGGGGAAGAACATGGCCGAATACTGTAGGGTGTTTAGATGATTCGCCTAGGTAGGTCGCGGGGGTGTAACCTTTGTAGGCACCTCTCTGTGATGGGGTCAGCCAGGACCCTGGCGACCGATCCGTTATGGCGTAGCCGCTATTGAAGAAGTTGATCTGATCTCCGACATTTGTTAGACGGAGTTCGCATTCGATGGACAAGTATAAACTTCAGTTCGACTATTTTAATTTAATTAAAATCCATGCAGTACAATTTTACCCAATTACCATGTCAAATTTTGGCTGAAATGGTACATAGTTACAGGCCTTAATCATCTTTAAATTTGCAATATGAAACATATAGCTGACCCATTTTAAGCCAAATTAATCTATTTGAGAACTCAATCGAAAATCAAATTTCCTTTTCTGATCAATTTTCAGTTCCTATTTTTAACAGTCCGTAGACCCAAATCGGTCAAGCTTTAGTTTGGCAAACTCTTATATGAATAAGAACATTCTGCAATGAGCCAGAACTTTCGTCAAAACCATTTCGACTGCTCGGAAATTTAAAATATTATCTGCCGACGAGTTCAATTTTAAACAACTTTTCAACCATTTTTAAATGCGGCTTACACTTTTTGAATAGCTCTTTCAACGACCGCGCCTTAATTAACACACGCATACCTTCCAATCTGTTTGTAAGCCGTGCTTAATACAAATTTTCAAATAACTTTCAAACAGGATCAGAGTGCATCAAACGACCCCTTCAGCTATTTACAATTATTATGTATTAATGGATATTTGCAGCCGGATCATTTGCATGCGCTGCAGCCGCGATTTTTTTGTTTTTAAATTATTCTCTTAACTGCGGCCACTCGAAAATCGTTTAATTTTCATTAATAGTCAAGTGGGTTTTCATTCGGGATTAATGTGCCATGGCCGCGGCAACGGAATTCGCATTGTTTTCGCGCCGTCTGCTAGTTAAATGCGTTAAGAGCAAAAATATATAGATATAAAAAAAAGGAGAAATTATGCATGCATTTTTAAGCGTTGTCTGCGGCGCATTAATTTTAAACAATTTACCTGCACGGTTGCCTTTTGTGCCGCATTCAAAAACAACAACAACAAAACTGAATAACCACATAAGCATTTTATTTTAAAGTCAGAAACTTAACGCGTGGCAGTTTCCAGGAACCTGGAGCAGGCAGCCTGCAGCTGCAGCCACTTCAATTTCAAAAGCAGCTGCTACTGCTGTTGCTGCCACTGCTGCTGCGGTGGCCATTGCCACTGGCCAGTGCCCGTTGGCCGTTGTGGGCAGCAGCAGCCACAGCAGCTTTGGCAGCCGCCTGCAGCTCAAGTTTTCATTTCTCTTTTACGCTTTGCTGCTTTATTTCAATTCCGTTGATAAAAACAAAACACAACAAAAAAAAATGTTCTTTTGAATTCCAGAGATTTTTATCCCCTCTTCCCTGTTCTCTTTTAAAATGCTGACTGTCGCTCCATTGTGCGTTTAACTCAGTGTTTGATTAGCGTCGTCTATGCAGCTGCAGCTGCAGCTGCGGCGGCTTATTAAGCATACGCCCGGTTGTACGCGCAGTTAAGCAAACATACATGAATTAATAATAAAATTCTTGCTGCGGCCGCAGCAACCGCACGCAAAATCGCTGCCAGTTCATGATAAACTAACTAACACATATTATTTATGAGCTGCCGTTGATAAAGCCGCCATGTACGGCATGTGGCATGTGGCACATGCTAGCAACCACAGCAACAATAACACAAGAACATTTGCGGTCGCTGCAGTGTTCAAATAATATTTTAAATAAAAATACAATTCGCACCGAACACTGGAATTCGATTTAAATTGCATTTAAATTAACTTTGTGTAGCTTCCCAAACAGTTACGTGCTATAAAATATATGAAATACTCTATACTTAATTTGTTATTAAAATACAATTTTTATATATAAAATGAAATTATTTATATTATTTTTAAATTAAAATTCTGCATATGACGTTCAAATTAATATGTTGACAGCCGATAATAAATCGGAAAATATTCCAGTAAAAAGACCCAAAATTGTGACAATGAAGACTTGAAGAAATATATAAAATATAAGGCTTAGTTAATAGTAAGAATATGTTGACAAAATATAAATAAAGTATTTCTATATTTTATTATCTATATAACGTTCTTCTTGTAAAAGAATTAATTGGCAAGCTTATTTATATTATTTCAAAAAACTACCATATTCGTATAGCAATAAAAATGTCAGAAACAAACATATATTTTTTTCAAACAATTAATTAATTAGCAACACTTGAAAGAGCATCCCTATACAAGTATATTTATATGTACATGGTATAGTCCATTGCAATTTACTAATGAGTGGCACTTAGGAGCGCATATAAATTTCGTTTAGTTAGGGCTTAAACAATGACTAACTAGTGGCTGGTGGAAATGCAAATGTGAAGCAGTTTGCACTTTTTAATTACGATTTTCAATTAAAGTGCGACAGCAGCGACACACAAAACCAATTTGCAATTGGCGCTGGCTAAAATCTCACCCGATTTCTCTTTGCTTTGCATTCACACACAGATATTGCTGTATCCGGAGGAGGGTTGGGCGCGCACCGCGTCCTCCAGCTACTGGACCATCACGCCCTGCTGGTGGCAGCCGAATCGTTGTCGCATTGTCGAATGCGCTGGCACGCAACGGCAGGCGACCAAGGCCAGGATGTTGCCCATGGAGCAGCAGGGCTCGCTGCTGATTGCCGGACACTTTCGCAGGCCGTCAATAACAGCGACAGGCGGTGCTGCAGCAGCGCCAACAACAGCAGCAACAACGGCAGCAACAACAACGGGTGGTGGAATAACATCAGCAGGCGGGGCTGCTGCTGGCGCAAATGGCAGGGCGCAGTCAAAGTCCAAATCACAGCTGGCATACAATGATGAGTTTAAACTGTATCTGACATCAAACATATCGATGGAGGACTACAACATGGGCTACTGTCTAACTGGCTTCGTCGAGCGCCGCTGCCAGCTGACAAACACCTTTCAAATGACGCACTTTGCCGTTATTAAGCGGCAATGGCCGCCGCCGTCCAATCTCAGCAGCAGCAGCACATAGGCAGCACACCGTGATTCCTCTGTGCTTCTAGCCACTTAGCCCACTTAGTACGTACTACGATTGTCAGCTGAGTATTCTGTATTCTCTAAGCCTAGCCATTAAGTAGTGCAATTTGCAATGCTGTGGCCCACGTGATAGCAGCAGCAAAATTAAAAGGCAACACAAAAAGTGTAGCATACTTTTCAGCGGCCATTAAATAAATATCAAAATTGTTGAAACTGCAAACGGTGGGCAATCTTTTGCCACTTTTTTATTTTTGTTAAACAAATTTCTATGTGTGTATTAGTGCGTAATTTGTAACTTTAACTAAATGCTCTAAACGTGCTTAATTCGTGTGCTTTCGATGTTGTATAAACAACGAAAAATAACAAATAAAACTTTTTAAAATAATAAGCAAAGTAAGAATATTAAAAAAATATTAAGGTAAAACAAACTTCGGATTGCCGAATACTTGATACCCTTGCATAAATTTAAATATTGATTGATTTGCTGACCTTTTTTTTAAATGCTATAAATTGGTTACAATTTTTTAATTATTTATTTTATGTTATATACATTAATTCTGATCTATGTTGTTTTCTGATTTGACTCATATTTTATTAAATCAATTCAGAAATTAAGATTAAACAAAAATCTTTATATGAAAAATTAATTAATACATTTTCAAGAAACTTTTCCCAAGATAGCCTTGATATGATTTGTATATAGTTAGATGATTTTGCTTATGTTATCGTAAACCGGAAAGGATCTTCATCAAACCTACATTCACGATGTTTAATGTATCAAATATGTAATCAAAATTTCTCAAGATATATTATACTATATACATATTATATAGTATGTATAGATTGCGTTTATTTCTTTCTGTTTTTTCCGACGTTATATAATTCATGACAAAATCGAAAATACCGTTGCAAGGGCATACAAATCCGAAAACAAATAACTGCGAAATACAAAAACCAGAAGCTGTTAAAAGCTAAAATGCAACTAAACCGCTTTGCCGGGCAATGCACACGCGCAAATATACACACATTTACACACACACACACACAAATACCAGAACCCATATTGCATTTAAGTCAGAGCGCTTGGGCAGCTACTTAATGCTTAAAAAGTGCAACAAATTGAAACTTGTGCTTGTCGAAGCATGTGATTCTGTGCCAAGTATCGTGTGTATGTGTATGTGTGTGTGCGTGTGTGTTTGTGCGTGTATATGAGTGTGGGTATTTGCTTTGCGAGCTTGGCTGTTCTTCAGCTACTTAAACAGTCATGTTGCAATCGTATTGCCTTTAAGCTTAAAATATGCGCAGCTCAACAAACAAATATTGCTGATGTTTTCATTAACTGGCATCAAGGTGCATCAGCATCAATTAATACTGGCATCACATGGCATTAATGCCAAATTGTGACAGCAGCTTATTTTTCATAGTTTTTATATGTTAAAGTTATTCAAGTTTTTTGTGGTAATATAATATAATATACACATTTTTTTAAAATATAGTTTTTATATTTTTATAACCCTTTTAATATGATTCAAGCATAGTTTAATAGTTTTATTTATTATATGTTTATGTGTAATGTTTGTTTATTTACTTATAAATTGATTTATATCGTAGCAATACAATTTTTATATAATTTATAAATGGTGTCCTTTTAAAATTAGTTATACTCTCTTATAGAGTGTACTAAAATCTTTTTTAAAATCAATATTTATTTTTTCTTGTGATTTTCTAATTTTGATATTGTTAAATTATGTTTCCATGAAGAAGCTTTTAAGCTGCTGCGCTCTATTCAACGCTACTCTCTAATCTTAAACTAGACAAACATTTTAAACTTTCTCCACACTCACACACACTCACATACTGTCTCTCTCTATCTCTCACTTTTTGAGCATAAACCGCAACGTATATCAACAATTCGTCCAATAATTGGAGTCTTTCGGCGCAACAAATGGCTTCCACGCTAAACAAGGCCGAAGCTCCAATTGCCAAAACCCTAAGTGTTAAAAAAAAAAGATTAAAAAAAACTGAAACCAAAGCTACTTAAGAGAAAAACTACAGCTAGGCTAAGTGCTAGATGTTAATAAGCAAATCAAAGCAAAAGGAAAAAAGAAAAGTAAAAATATACCAAATCAATATTTACAATCTAGTATTATATTATAAAAACTATGAACTATAAATTTAATATACTATTTATGTGTGTGTGTAGGCTTGAAGTGAACTCAAAGTTTTTGCCATACTTGTATCGGTGTATTTATAAACATATACATATATGCATATATACTATATTCAACTATGTATACAAAACTAAACCAAAATCAATCACTAACATTTTTTGCAGTAGTGCATAGCTCGCTTTTAGGCGCTTTTACACGCAGGCGAAAACAAAACATGCCAAAAAAAAAACTAAAAATAAATAAAAAATTAAAAAAACATATTTATACATATATTTTACAAGGTCTATAATAAATGTAAACTTGATTTGCTCTCACCCACAGCCTGCTCCCCGTAATTGATATTTAAGTATCAGGTACCTGCCAAAAAAAAAGTAAATAAATTAAATAAATAAATATTAATAAATGTAAAACAAAATGCCGCAACAACAAACACAAATATTTGAGCAGCTCCAAAGTCCAAATTGCAAGTCCAATGGCATTTTTTATTAGGCAACACACATACAACTAACTATTTTTTTAAATAAGCAATTAACAAAAAAAGTTTTCTATGTATACAAATCCCATGGTAAATCCAACAAACACACACACACACACACACATGCGCTTATTGATGTTGTTGTTTTTCTGTGTCTAGATGAATGTGTCTATGTGTGTAGCATATTTATCTGCGATTAGCTTAGGGGTAAACTTCAAGTTAAAATAAACAACATGAAAAACAAAACAATTAACATTAAAAATAAAAAAAAAACAATAGAAAAACATGCAAACCGAACACGCAATGAGCTTTTTTTGTAGCCAAGGGTAAATGGTAAACAGTAATTATAAATAAATTACTAATTAAATTTATAAGCGGCGCCGCAAACAGAAACAACATAAAAAATAATATAAAATCAAATAAAACAAAGCACATCAATTATGCCAGCTATGTGAGCCAGGCAAGGGGCTTAAAATTAAAATTAATTCATTAAATTAAGCTTGTATTTAAATAATTACGTAAATGCAAAAGTTTGTACAATTAAGCAGAATTGTGTCACGCATTTGGCTGAAATCAAAAACTAATGCAAACATAAATTAAAATTCCATTCAACACCGATGATGGCTGAACTTAAACCATAAATCAAATTTAACAACAATAAACAACAAAAAGCAGAAATCAAATAAATGCAAACAAATATTTAATAAAAACAGGAAGGAAACTTGTCTGAATAAGCAAGTCAAGTAATTGTGGCTCGGTGCAAACGTAGAAAATGCAAGGAATGTAAGAATTGTAAGAGAAAGAAAGAGATTTCAAAGCATAGAAAATAAAGCAACAGAAAAAGAAAACTAATAAAACTGTGGTTTTATCTGACGATTTCCATTTTTCAGAGCAGGCAAAAATTGATGTAAAATGTGAGTAAAACCAGTTGAGAATTACAAGTGCTTGCAATAAATTTCTTTTATCAAGCACAAAACTCTGAACTAATGTGAGTTAAACCAGTTGAGAATTATAAACGCTTGCTAAAAATTCCTTTTAGCAGGCGCAAAATTATTTAAAAATGTGACTAAACCAGTTCAGAATTATAAACGCATGCAAGAAAATCCTTTTGGCCGTTCGTAAAACCGGCTTATAGCCTCTGCCCACTGAACACATTTCTTACACATTTCTGAAAATGTCACATTTTTGTAAAATGTGTAAAATGCGGCCTGTACGTTTCCCCATTAGAAAACACATTTCACACATTTTTCAAAAATTTCACATTTTTAAAAAATATGTAAATTCGCTCCGAACATTTCGTGTATTTTGCGATGATTAATCGAGATTTCTATTGATGTTGCGAAAAACATAAACCAGCTGATATTGCAACGAAGGCAAGCGGTAACTTTCAATTATAATTTAAAATTTTAATAATCCCACAGTTTTTAACATTTAAAGTTGGCCAAATCCCGCAAAGAGTCAATTAAACAGAGACTCCACTTCAGGGAACTTTTATTTGACTTTTGGAAGGAAATCTTTGCGGCGCTTATGTAAACTAAAGCAACTCGATCAGCTGTTTATTTAAAGAAACAGTACTTTTGCCATTCACATGTTACCGACAACCGGTCGGACATCAATATGTGAAATTTGAAAATGTGATATTTCTTAAGTGTACAAAATCCTGTCTTGCGAAGGACACAACGCTCCGTAAGCTGTCTGGTCCGCCCTGGTACATGCGAACATGCGATTTGGAAAGAGACCTCGGCATGTCCAAAATCGGAGACTTCATAAACATACATTACATCACGCGGCTTGAACATCATCTCATTCGACTGGCTAGGCGTAGAAATGAAGGAGTCCGAATGCGGAGGATATTGCGGAGGTCTCATCTAATCGATTTCTCACATCGGTTTATATAACCAACCTATTTTTGTTAATTTTATTAAGTACTGTATTGGATTTATTCACATCATTTTAAATTAAAGTGGTTCCCTAAACAACAGTAAAAGAAGTGTTACTTCATGTTGGATTTGGAAAACGAACACTTTAAAATTACTATTATTTATTAATTTCCGTTAGCTCAGAAGTGTATATTCAATAATATATAATTATTTTGGTTTAATACCTTTAAATATTTAATATATTCGTGTGTTATTTCCATTCACACATTTTATCTACCATGTTATTCTGATGAATGCTTCCATTCTTTTATTATTTCTTTGTAATTCGATAGAAGCTGCAAAATGTTCACAGATTTCGATATGCATATTAATTAAATTGATTCCATTTGGCAACAGCATATTTACTTTTTCTTCTTTTGCACTATGCATGATGCGTTTTATTCTTTTTTTTTATTATTTGATTCTACAATCGCTTTCTTTTCAAGCACATGCACAAAGTGAAAGCCAAACCGAACCCAGTTAAAAAACGTTCGGATTTCAATTACAATTTCTATGGCTGCAGCGCTTTTCATAATTATATCTCCGATCGGGAAAGCTCGCAATGGCAATTGCCATTGCTGTCGCCGTTGTGCTGCTTCTTTTTGTTTGCCCTGCGCTTGTGTGAAGTTGTTTTTTATTTTGGTTTGATTTATTTGTTTCACTTTTTTGCGCAATTAAATTTATATTTACATGCGATATTCGTGCACGATATGTCCGACTAGATATATGGCACAATTTGAATTTCACTATTTTTTTATGAAAGTGTTTCA